CCTACTATATATATATATATATATATATATACACACACACACACACACACACATTGAAATACATGATATGAGAGACAGAAATGGAGAGAGCATGTGCTATTAATGGGTACATATCTTTTCCTAAAAGAGAAGAGAGAGATTGACATAAAACTAGGACGGGATAAGATAGAGGAAGACAAGCTTTGATTCCAAAATAGGAATCATAATCTTAGATTTTCCCAATGTGATAGGTGTTGAATCTCTCTTAAATCACCGAATTGTGTGAAAACTCTCCATGCGATACTTGACATCCTCTCTATCTCTAATGTGTGGAGAATTGAACAGGAAACTATTGTAATTAGGTGCACGTGTTTATCTACAAACCTAATTCCAAGCGTTCCATCTCTTCTCACTATCTCTCAAAACTATCCCATTTACAATACAATTGTAGTTTGGTTTACACATCAAAATATCGAGATAATCAATCACCCCAAGCATTTGTCAACTTTCATCACTGCAAGGTGCACCATCACCTAAATCATCCAAAGTAAAATCCAACTGGGTTTTCTGCGATTTCTTATGACAGAGAAGCTTTTTTCTTATGGTTGGGAGCGTGTTTCTTCTCTCTCATCATCTGAGCAGAGAGCCCTGAATCTTTCATAGTGGGGTCCCGGGTGTTTCTTCTCTCTCAATGTGGTATAGAGAGAAGAGGAAGGGTTTCTATCATGACTACGATATGGCTGTCTCCCTCTCCTCACGAGGGTAGAGAGAGGAAAAAAAAAAAGAAATTATTTGCTTGAGCACTTCCATAGAGTCTAATCAGATGGGTGGTGGCTCTCTCTTTCCGATGAGATAGGAGATCTTGCCAATGTTGCCAACCCTAAAAATGTCAGAGTCTAAGGTGTTTCAGACTGAGACATGGGTTAGGGGACTTTGGGGGTGAGGATTAAAGACAAAGCGAGAGTTTGATGAGTCCTTTTTGAAGACAGAAGGCATGTTTGTCAACTGACAGTGGGTATAAAAAGAGTGGAGTTTGCAATGGGGGTTGGGCTGAGAGTTCCACCACTTTGAAATGCCCGTACCTAGGTTTTGCATCGAGAGAAAGAGAAAGTAATTTGGTACTAGGGTAAGTGATACAGGGGGAGCTAGAAAGACAGTAAAGTTAGAGCTCATTCAGTGAAAAGAAAATAAAATAAAAATAAAAACACTGGCGCATGTGACAATAACCCTTGACTGAGACTTTAAAAAGGTTTTACACTACAATGCCCTGCATGTTTCCCAACTAAACTTGGGTAGCACATGGTATACAATTTACACGGGTCCCAATATTTTTATTTTTATGCTATAAATTTAGCTATTGTGTTCGTTTTTTTAATTCAGCCCGGGCCAAACTTTTACACTTATTTTGGATGAAAATGCCCCGCTCAAGCAAACACAAAACATTTTAGGCTAGTTTTGACTCATGGAGGGGCAAACCGGCCTCAGCTCCAAGAACATTCTACAAGGTATTTTAGGCCAGTTTTATGTTCATTTATTTTAATTCTAAGTGCATATCTTTGTACTTTACCATTGCAAAATCATGCGATTATTTAGTGCCTATCAAAGTACTATTTACGTGGCATGTTTACAAAATTACTTACATAAACATTATTGCATATCTACGTACCCTCCATTTCATATTATTGCGATCAGTTACGTGATTCCTTATTTCATCTCTATGTGCAACGCACGTAATCACACAAGTATATATTACATCAAATATCAGGTATTATCATAATGATTTAATGCCAGCAAGAAACAGTAGTGAAAGATAATGTTTCCCAAATTAAAAAAGCCCAACAGTAGCATTGGACAAATAAGGGACAAAACACCTAAGCATTGGCTTTAAGTCAGTAAGCATATTCAAAGATTCTATTTTTACTATGGGAGAAAAGTCAGAAACCTTTGTCCAAGTATTACATAACCAGGTGAATGGGCAATCCACTTGGCGAAATGGTAAGTCAGGTCAACTAGGGCAAGTTTGGGGCTGGTCCACTACACTTTGGAACCATGGAGTAAACTGACAAAAATAATTCTTATATTTTTTTTCTTAAGGGCGAATAATTCTTATATTATCCGATGTGTCCTTGAGCATCATTTTTTCTTTGCAAGTCAACGATGGAAAGCTCGTACTAAAAGACAATTCTCCTCACAAAGTGATATTTTTACACCCCTCATTCTATAACAACCCTTGACCAAATCCTCTTGATAGCAACTATCCTCAACATCAATCTCAGCTTCACACATTCTCCAATTTCTTCATCAATCTATTGGACTTCACTACCCATCGATCCCCTCAACATTCAACCAAAACCATTATGGTTAAGCAATAACTTTTGGCATAGCCCTACCCTAACCTAGCAAAATCAAAAAGCTTCAGCATGAAGTCAATCTGCTCCCTTGAAGGAGCCAAATGGATTAGCAGCTGCATATACAGCAATCTGATGGTAAAATTCTGATGTAAGGAAAAAAAAAGGTATCCGTTTCAGCACCACAATGGAAATCCATTTTGTATCCATGCTTCATCAGTCCTTTATGCAAGTTACACGTTTAGCAACACTTCCCACCAACCTTTTCTGATACGGATCTCCAAATCTTCCAAATCTGCAAATTGAACAGAATATATCCTCACTCAATCCCCATACTCACCGAGTTCCCTGCATTTTCATGATTTCATCAATGATCAACATGTCCACCAATGCATTAATTACCACAATGCATGTTCCATGACCCTTCTGGGTTAAAGTTCTCTTTAGTGTCTTCTATCTCATCAACTGAAGGTCATTGTAAACTGCCAAGACAATGTTAGTATGCCCTCTTGATTGCCACTTCTGTGTGACATTCAGTGAAAACTAGCTATGAAAAATACGTCTTCCTAGGGATCTCAATAACGTTTTCTCTAAGCAAAGACACTTGGTTTTAGACCATCTAGTACAACTTCCATTACCACCTGAGACATTTTATGACTGCAAGAAGCGACCAATAGCTAGCTTAAGGAAAATGATACCTTGTAACACTTGGAGCTATTGACAGGTTTGATGGACTACTGGCTACTTGTAAAATACTCTAAGGCATTGTTTCTTGTTTGTGGATGATAGATTCGTCATAAAAAAAATTACCAGTGCACAAGAAGCACCTGGTGTATCTCATTCACATGAAAGATATAGGACATCTATGTGAATAATGAGGTTGCATGTTGCATGTCCTCTCCTAATATAACTTAGTACGGTACCTAAATGATGTATGTCAATCTCATGAATATCAAAAGCTTATGCATCTATCATCTGTCTTCAAATGTCCAGAAAAGATGGAACAGATTATTTCTCTTCTGCAGTAATCCCTTTACTTTAAAGCTTCTTGAAACTCGAATGGTTTCAATTTAAAGTCCAGATGCACAACATTTTAAAAATTGCAACTATGTTTATTTCCCCTGAACATCTCTCATTTTTGCTACAAGAAAAATCAGGAGATGGTTTCCGAAACAATGGCAGAGCCAAAATTTCAAATGCACTAGTATGAGCATTTGGGTCATAAAGATTGCAATGAAACCAAGGATTCATAAGATAGCAGAGGGAATTGAACTGCATTCAAGTGAATAGTCACATCACTAAACCAGAATAACTGCAAGTTAATTTATTTCCTATACAAGTCCCCCAAAGGCAACTTGTTCGCCGAGTCCATGACTTAGGTAAGCAATGGACACAACACAGAATCTCCATACTTATCCTTTGTAAAACTTTCCCATACATGTCCCCCAAAGGCAACTTGTTCGCCGAGTCCATGACTTAGGTAAGCCATGAACACAACACAGAATCTCCATGCTTATCCTTTGTAAAAGATGCAAACTTTCAGGTCGGGCAAATATCCATAATGCAATTAATTTTCTTAAAAGCATCTTGCATTTCGTTATCACATTGACTGATAATAAATTCTCTCCATAAGTTCAACAAAAACTACTTTCCAAACTATTCACTAGCAAAATGCCCATGTTAACAGAAAAGTGTTTCATGTATACTCTTATTATAGATGAGAGTCTTCCCCTATAAATGTTTTCACACTAAACCCCAATTAAACTCTGTATAATGTCCCTAACTACTTCCCCTGATATCTGCTCAGTTGTTGTCTGCCAAAAAAAAGGTAGAATAGTCTAATGGAACATGGTACATGACACTCCACGTACCAGTGAGCCCCACCCAACTTGGCTCACCCGACTTAATCAAGATTCATCCATGAGGAAAAACACACCGTTTATGAAACCTCATACTACCATACAAGTACCATATAAGCATGCATCCTACTTCACTGAACCATAACATACTTTCCCATCAAAAAATTCAGAACAAATAGAAAGCAGGAGAGAGAGATAGAAAGAGCATACACCCTAGTCAATTGAATTAAGCACACTCATCGAAGAAAAAAAATTTGAACATAATGTGGGACAGAAAGAGACAGAGAGACAGACAGAATCTTCCCTACTCCATTGGACCATAATTCAACCACCCATCATCTTCCCTACTCCATTGGATCATAATTTGACCACCCATCAAAAAAATTCAGATAAAAATGAAGGCGAAAAAGAGGGAGATAGGGAGCACACCTCGAAACCCCATCAATGTCCTCAAACTCGCCCTCACTCTCATTGGGCGGGGGAGCATTCATATCAATCATCCTCGCAGGCTCCCTCTGCCACCCAAGTGCCCATCGACGGCTTCGGGCCCCACCGCCCAGGCAATTAGGACAAATCCAATCTTCGAGCAAGGAAGCACTCCTAACCCTAAGCTTGACGCACCCCAAATGGAAGCCACTCTCACAAGCGTCACAAATTACTGTTCCACCCCTGGACTCCAACCTCCCGCAAATAGGACACAAACCGACCCCGGTTTCACCAGGTGACTCTGCAGGACCACGCACGGGTTCAATCCTGGGCTTGTGGATCTGGCACACAAGCTCATAGGTCTCGGGGGAAGTGGGCTCAAGCCCACTGTTACTACCACTACTGGTTGGGATCTCATTGAGGTCAATAAAGAGAAGAGATATGCCACTTCTAGGGCCCATTTCCTTCTTCTCTGAGCCCTCATCCATGGTTTTTCTATACTTTTTTGCCAAAAGAGGGAGTTGCAGAGCTCATGGTGGTTAGGACAATATGGGAATTTCGGTATTTGTTAAGGGTACAAGGTGGTTTTAGTTGCGCTAGTGATCGGAATGGAGCGAGTATTGTGGCTTTAGGGCGAGGAGGAGTTGCAGAGCTCAAAGCTTGTGGGCATATAGGGGACTCAGGTGATTCTCAAGGGTATAAACCACATTTTTAGGTGATTGTTGCGACAATGGAGTGGTTTCTCTGGTTCCCGGGCAACAAGGAGCCATCGCTAGAGGAAAGAACGCGTCTTTCGATGATCTTCAGGCTCAATAAGTGGATTATCTCGTTCTGAGGAAACAAGGAGTTGCAGAGCTAATGGCTTTGGT